ACATGGTATATTGGCTATACACGATGGTGGTTAAACGCATCTCTGGTCTGGTGGCCAAAGATGAAGCAGGCGACCGCCATCAACAAACTAAGCAAGGTGCAAAGACTTGCATGTTTGGGAATGACGGGAGCAATGACAACTACCCCAACAGCTTCATTGGAGACACTCCTCAATCTACCTCCTTTTCACTTTGTGATAATGGGGGAGGCCAGAATGGGCCAATTCAGACTGGAAAACTCACCGAACCACAAAAGATCGGACTGAACAGAAATTTCGGAACAAGTGGAGGAGCACATATTGAATATGTTCACAGACCACATGTCACCGAATTACACATTTAACACAAATTTCACGCCCAAAATCATAAGCCGTTAGGAGTGGAAGACTATTAGTCATCCCGAAAACATGTTTGGAAAAAACACCTAGTATACAGATCAATCGAAGACCAAACATGGAACGGGAGCTGGAATATACCGAGCGGATAGAAATTTAAACTACAACTATCCGCTAGGACTATACACATCCGTCTTTCAGGCGGAAGTGTATGCTATCTTGCAGTGTGCAAGGCTTTTTAAATTGAGACCTCAAAGAAATTATGAGCGGATCAACATTTTTACAGACAGCTCTGACAAACCCGAAGGTGACATCAAAACTGGTCTGGGCATGCCATGAAGAACTGAATGAACTTGCAAACAGGAACAAATTAACTTTACACTGGGTGCCAGGGCATCCAGGAATCACAGGTAATGATAAAGCTGATGAATGCGCTAGACGCGGATCATCAACTTCATATATAGGTCCTGAACCAGCTCTGGGGGTACCAAAATCATTGGTAAAAAACCAGATTAGGACATGGATCAATAAGAAGCACACAGAGTACTGGACGAAAGTACCTGGCAACAAATACAGTAGAACCTTCATTAGGGAACCGTCCGAGAAAAGAACCGAAGAACTACTCGTGATTTCCCAGGCAAGGCTGCTTGTACAGAGTCGCACTAAGGAACGACCGAACTTTGTTTTTTTAGTGATATGCGACTGGGTATAGGAATTTTTTTTAGGTGGAGTACTTGACATTTTTAAAATTTTAAACTTTGAAATATCGTATATGGATATAGTTTAGTTAGTTTTACAGTTTCTACATGATTATTTCTACATAATAAGCTGAGAGCTCTATATTATTCCTGAATATTTTCATAAAAATTTATTATTATTTTCCAATGACTACAAACCAATGACAGTTCTTGTGGAACGTCATCTTTGAATATTTTTGTAGTAACTCTTGACCCTGTATGCGAAGATAACCAATTTTCCGGTTGTAGCACTTTTATAACCCGTTCCACACACTTTTCCTCTGAAAAAAAAAATAAAAACGAGATGTATAAAAACAAATCAAGTCGTCCGGCATTCGGATCGAAAGCGTTTGTTTTCGAGGCACTTGGAGTGTATAATTACAGAGGAGCGAAAATAGATTTCGAAATCATAATCTACTAACAAAGTGAACAAACGCTAAATTTAAATAAATCATCGCGCGGCATTCTTCGAGCTTGCCAGCCAGAAAAACAAAACCACGATGGCGTTGATCGGCTATTAAAAGATTTTCGGACGGCCATGGGGAGGGGGTGTAACAGCTAATCAATCATAATCTGGGTATCAAACACTGGGTATCAAACAAGGTAATGGCTTCTTGTACAAAAAATACTGTGTAGTCTTGGCTTTTGTTCAAAATTGGTTTCATTCATTAACGTAATATCCATCAAGAACGCCACAATCATTTCAATAACTATTTTGTAGAACGATTTATTTTCCGCTTCAAATAGGCCTCAGTGTCAGCAATAACCTCTTTATTCGAGCAAAATTTCTTACCGGTGAGCATTTTTTGAGGTATGCGAACAGCCAGTAGTCGATGGGAGCAAAATCTGGCGAATGCGGTGGATGTGGGAGCATTCGAAACGATTTTGTGGATTTTTTTATGTTTTCTGATGTTAACGAATCATTTGGACGTCCTTTTCAAGTCGTTGTTTCGTTTGAATGTTTTTTTTCCATCAAGAATTAGTGTAAAATTGAAACTGGAAATTATTTTTGATCCGTTGTCTTGAAAATAAACAACAGTACTGTCACTCTTACCACAATAACTAACAAACTTATGAGTTTTTTTGAAGGTTAGTTCTAACTGAAAAAGCGGTGAATACAATAAGACTAGCGCCATCTATATGTTAAAGCCCGAGGCCATGTAGTATGATTGCTTATATTTATACTTTGACAGGTGATCTCAAAATTTTCAGACCAATCAGATCTGTTATATCTCAACTACAACTAAAAAACTAACTAATACACTTTATTGTATGATTTTCACTATAAAGGGTTTTACAAAAACCGCGACACGTGTTTCGCTATACAATAGCTCTCTCAGGCGTTTCAGAATATACAGGGCTATTCAAATTCGTTTCTGTACATGGGGATCTCGTAAACGATAAGAGATAGTCTGTCGGTTAAATTGTGGCAAAGTTGTGTATTTTAGAGACCTATTCAATGATGTAAAGAAATCGAATACAGCTCTTTTGGTTCTGGAGATATTCACGAAAAACCAAAAAATTCCAAATTATTTTTTTGTTTATATCTTCTTCATTCGCAGACATATTGAAAATCAGTCCACATTTTGCTATTGCCACTTGATGTGAGCTCTCAGAATATATCCATGAATCTTTTATACAGGGTGTCATCTGACTTGGGCCACCCCCTTCTTCGAATTTTTAAAAACGGACCTGTATTTTTTTTTGTAGTTTTTGGATCGTAGACATTGACTTCATACTGAGAAATTAAATTTAATTTTATATTTCGGGATTTTTCGGTAATATTCGATTATAATTGTATGAATTAACCCCTTTTAAATTACGGCTGACTGAGTTGACGACTGAGTTGAATAAAAACATATTGGCAACTTCCACGTTTTTCGCGAGTTTTTTTTTCATTTTTAGGTACCTATTCATATTTTTTCCATTGCTTTGAGCGTTTTCTACAATGTACTTCGAATAAGAAAACCTTTTATGATTATCTGAAACATATCTACAACAAAAATATATTATGTGTTTTGATGAGCAGAAAAAAAAAGGTAGCAATAACATCCGAAACAAATACTATAATTATAATGAAAATTGAAATGAAGTTAGTAATTTATATACACAAAAAAATTAATTGTGCAATAATAGTTCAAACTGGAGTCCTTCCATTTCGGGACAAATAATGGGACAATAAGATGGTCTGTAAGATCACCAGATCTTACTATTTTGGACTATTTTCTATGGAGGACATTGAAAAATAATATTTACGCTGGCAGAGAGATAGAAAATGTGGAACAACTCAAGATTGAGGATTTTGAATGATTTCGCAACAATGCAGCAAATAAGTGTATTGAGGGCAATAAATAATGCGAAAAACCGAGTTTAAAAATGTCTCGCAATGGAAGGACTCCAATTCGAACATCAATATTTTTTTGGGTACCTATATAAATCACTTCATTTCAATTTTCATTACAATTATAGTGTTCTTTTCGGATGTTATTATTGCTATCATTTCTTTTTCTGCTTAATAAAACATATATATTTTTGATGTAGATATGGTTCAAATAATCATAAAAGTTTTTCTTATTCGAAGTTCATTGTAGAAAACGCTCAGAGCAATGGAAAGAATATGAATAGGTACCTAAAAATGAAAAAAAAACTCTCGAAAAACTCTACGATACATAAGGAGACGTGAAAGTTGCTATTATGTTTTTATTCAACTCAGTCAACCAATTTCCAGGGCCGTAATCTAAAAGGAAATAATAATTCACACAATTATAATCGAATATTACCGAAACATCCCGAAATATAAAATTGAATTTAATTTCTCAGTATGAAGTGAACGTCTACGATCTAAAAACTACAAAAAAAATTACAGATCCGTATTTAAAACTTCAAACATGGGGGTGGCCCAAGTCAGATGACACCCTGTATAAAAGATTCATGGATATATTCTGAGAACCCACATCAAGTGCCAATAGCACTTGATGTGGGTGGACTAATTTTCAATATGTCTGCGAATGAAAAAGATATAAGCAAAAAAATATTTTGGGATTTTTTGGCAATCTTGCAAGGATCACCCTGGGCGACCCTAGAAAGCTGGCGCCGAAGAAATATCTGGCGATGACCAGGAACAATATATGGTTAACAGTGGGATTTCTGACTGGCCACTGTCAACTAAGGAAACACCTCCATAATATGGGGCTAGTGGACACACCTCTATGCAGGATGTGTGAACAGGAATATAAAACTGTCAGGCATGTCCTCTGCGAATGTCCGGAACTATCGTCAATAAAAGAGTTTGTGTTCGGCGAGTTTTGGCCTACATCTGCCGATATAAAGTAGATGTCTTCCAGTGACCTGTCCACCTTCCTGGAAAAGACAGGGTGAACAGTGACCTAGGAGGACAACTCCTTGAGAGAATGTACAATGGGTCACATGTGGCCTAAGGGCTGTGAATCTACTCTCACCCCCCTACTCTACAGATAGCGAAACACATGTCGCGGTTTTTGTAAAACCCTCTATAGTGAAAATCATTCAATGAAGTGTAATAGTTAATTCTAATATGGATTTTCATCAAGTATCTTCTATTTCTATTCATTTATCAACTACAACTGTCAGTCGAAGCTACAAAATTGAAATTAAAGGAAAAATATTGAATAAATTGATGGGATGTAGCCGTTACTACGTGGTAGGAGATCATAATGAAAAGAGAAAAATCAAATTTCTATGTTTTTTACCACTTTTAATTGTAAATAACGTTACTACAGTTTCGTTCTATATGGACAACTAATACATTTAGTTTGAGAATGTCTATATGGGACAAACCTGCAGTAACGTTAGTTACAATTGAAAGTGAGAAAAATATTGAAAACAAACACGTGCTACGCGTTCATTTGTATTGTGAAGTTTTATTTTTTTAACAATATTTTTTTGTTGCAGGGTCTCCAATTAATCGGCTCCCCATAATGGCCAAGTCGGTACTTGATCTCTATGAACTATACAACCTTGTGATAGCTAGAGGGGGGTTGGTAGATGTGATAAACAAGAAACTTTGGCAAGAAATAATTAAAGGACTCCACTTACCGTCATCGATCACTTCAGCGGCATTTACACTTAGGACACAGTAAGTATTTTGTTTTGTTACATAGCCACTGGGTTCCCGAAAATTGCCAAACTTCGGATGCGTTTTAAAGTGTTTTATTAATATTTCACGTTTCACGCGGTGTTAAATGCTTCATTACAAGTATTACACTCTGAACAGCTGAAAAGTTATTTTCTCACGTTCCACGTATAGAAAATTGTAGGAGAAAGTGGTAGCCACTTTCATTGGCTACCACAGTCCCGCAGTCCCGCAAGGATCCAATACTTATCCCTACACAATCTTAAATGTATTTCTATTAATATAGTATTTGTTCATTTTGACATATCATTGTTCAAGTTTCCAAAGGTAACAATTGAATTTTTGAGGTTAGAACGAAAATAAACATCGATAAATCTGCTTTCCATTTTGAGAACACTTAGAGTCGTTTTTGAAGGGAGTACTGAGTAAATTCGGAGAAATTGCACTGAAATAACTATATATTATGATGAATAACGTAATCTTTGAGAGCTATTGAGTGACTTGAGTGTTTTTATGTATTTAGATTAGTTGGTTCTTTGAAACTGATGGGATTTCATTATGAAAGCTACAGTTCAGGCCTGTATATTGTAAATAATTATTAACAACCCTATTATATAATTCGCCTGCGTTTCACAAAATCCATGTGTTATGAAAATGAGGTCAACGACTAGAAAACTAAATTTTCTGATTGAAAATAGCTTCCGTTGAAAATATTGTTTTTAAAACAAGTTTTCAATCGCACATCAACTTGTCACTGAAATTCATGATTAATTTTAATCTTGAAACAAATTATCTGGTGGCATATTTTTTGAGTGTAGGTGTTCTTCATCAAGCAAGCCAAATTGTTTTGCAAAATCGTTTATGATTAATTTTGCGCCCACCAAACTCAACAACGGTATATTTTAAATATCAGAAATTTTGGTGTCTTTTAGTAAATAAAACACCGTGATCGTCAAATTTTGGCGTTCATACATCATTAGCTAAAAATGACTTCGTCGTTCTTTCATTTCGTTTGTTATTTTTCGGATACTACAAGATGATTGTTGTAAAAAAGCGACGACTGACAAATTTTGTAATCAGTGCCGGCGGGAAACTGAAGTTTCAATGAAATTGTCGTAGTAACTGTGCCAAAATATTGTGAGTCACCAAAATTATTTTCAATTAGGTGGGACTGAATAATTATTTTGCGGCTTATACCGAGTGGGTTTAGAAATGTTGACATAAATAATGATTGCAAAGAAACCAGAATTGATCAAGTCTCTTCCACACATACAGTGTTGCCAACCCAACCTAATAAAGCTATTTTGCGCGAATCATATATTCATGGAAAATGGATGCATAGGTACCTAAATTCATAAACCTGAAAACACATCTGTAGATTATCACAGCCGGTGTCTTGCAGATTCTTTGCCGTTTCGAGGTTTATTAACCGTGGTCTGTAATTTTTTAGACCTGACGTTTTGCCTGCAACAGCGACAATTCTGTTTTAATCCATCTTCTCGTTTTGTCAATTTCGTCTTGTGTCCATTATATCTTTTGTGCATTCCATCTTCTGTCCATTTTATTTTTGTCCATTACGTCTCATGCCTCAGTCACTAAGTCCATTCGAAAAGTATCTGCTTAAAATCTTCTCCTATCTTTGTCAAAAATAATGCGATGGCAAATAATATGATGCGGCAAGGGACACGCTGACAATCTCATGAACAACCAATTATGTGTTGTATCGAATGATATTGTTTTACTGTTTCATTCTATCTTCTCTCTTTGCCCATTCCATCTTCTGTCCGTTTCATCTTCTGTCCATTTCATTTTTTCCATTCTATATCATGTCTTTGTCCATTCAATTGATATCTTCCTAATATCTTCTCAATATCCATTTTCCGTCTTTGTCATAAATAATGCGACTGCAAAAAATGCGATGGGGCAATGGCATGGCTATCAATTTCAGGAACAGCAAATAATCTGTTGGATCAAATGATAGTGTTTCACTGTCACAATCTTCTGTCCATTCCATCTTCTATCTTTGTCCATTCATTCAATGTCTTGTCCATCTTCCGTCTTTGTCCATTCATTCCATGTCTTGTCCATCTTCTGTTTTTGTCCATTCATTCAATGTCTTGTTCATCTTCTATCTTTGGTCATCTTATGTCTTCGTCCATCCATCTTCTGTCCATTCCATCTTCTATCTTTATCCATTCATTCAATGTCTTGTCCATCTTCTGTTTTCGTCCATTCATTCAATGTCTGGTCCATCTTCCGTCTTTGTCCATTCATTCAATGTCTTGTCCATCTTGTTTTTGTCCATTCATTCAATGTCTTGTCCATCTTCTGTTTTTGTCCATTCATTCAATGTATTGTCCATCTTCTATCTTTGTCCATCTTATGTCTTCGTCCATTCTATCTTCTGTCCATTCCATCTTCTGTTTTTGTCCATTCGTTCAATGTCTTGTCCATATTCTGTTTTCGTCCATTCATTCAATGTCTGGTCTATCTTCCGTCTTTGTCCATTCATTCAATGTCTTGTCCATCTTTTGTTTTTGTCCATTCATTCAATGTATTTTCCATCTTCTATCTTTGTCCATCTTATGTCTACGTCCATTCCATCTTCTGTTTTCGTCCATTAATTCAATGCCTGGTCCACCTTCTGTCTTTGTCCATTCATTCAATGTCTTGTCCATCTTTTGTTTTTGTCCATTCATTCAATGTCTTGTCCATCTTCTGTTTTTGTCCATTCATTCAATTTCTTGTCCATCTTCTATCTTTGTCCATCTTATGTCTTCGTCCATCCATCTTCTGTCCATTCCATCTTCTGTTTTCGTCCATTCATTCAATGTCTGGTCCATCTTCCGTTTTTGTCCATTCATTCAATGTCTTGTCCATCTTCTATCACTGTCCATCTTATGTCTTCGTCCATCCATCTTCTGTCCATTCCATCTTCTGTTTTTGCCCATTCATTTAATGTCTTGTCCATCTTCTGTTTTTGTCCATTCATTCAATGTCTTGTCCATCTTCTATCTTTGTCCATCTTATGTCTTCGTACATTCCATCTTCTGTTTTTGTCAATTCATTCAATGTCTTGTCTATCACTTGTCTTTGTACATTCATTCGATGTCTTGTCCACCTTCTGTCTTTGTCCATTCATTCAAAAGCTTGTAAATTCTTTGTCACAATCAATGCGATCGCAAATAATGCGTTACGACAATGGCACGGCTAATAATCTCAGAAAAACCAAATAATCTGGATGGAACTATATTGTTTTACTGTTTTTTATTACATCTTCAGTCTTTGTCACTTTGCTATAAAGGCGTAGAATGGTTTTTTTTTCGAGGAAAATATGTGTGTGTAATTGGTACACAGGATCAAAAGTTCAATACTAAATGGTAATGGGCCTGCGGTGTTCTGAGGTTGAACTGATCTGCTGAGATGGCAGATTGCAATATGCTAGAAAAACTGCAAAAATCAGAAAGCGTAACAAATGTGTGAAAATATGTAGATTTTGCATATTTCGTGTCATGTTGGCAACGCTGTTGACATATTGCATAAACGTGTGCATCTAGTACCAACCAATACGGCACGTGTGAGTTGAAAAAAATTATTGTTTTACGGTGTCCTGAGTGCAATATAGGTCAAACCGTCCGAAGACAATTTCCTGAGCAGTCGTTAAATTTCTTAACGACTAATTTCATTGAGCTGTCGCCTTTTTTGACGTGTCTCATTTCAAAAACTATGACACACTTTCCTCTCGATAATTAAACGTTTTGGTGATAGAGAGAGGTCAACAGGTTTTCCTATGATGACATATCTTAGCTCAATTTCTTTGTATGAGGCAATTAGTAGAAGCTGTAGAATAACACGTTTTCATGATGAAAGAAGAACCAGAAGAAGTCTTCATTTCCTCCACTAAAGATATGAAATAAATGAAGTAAATCTGTGGTGATACATGAAGATTTTGAAAAATTTCGAAAGTTGACACTTCCAAATCTGTAGAAAAGGTGAGAAGCCAGTTCAAGGAAAATGTGTGCAATCCTCAGAAGTGTACTCAATCTTGGAACTTTGGCTTCGTCTTTTTGTTCACGAATATCTACAGTTTTCTTAGGTGTACTCAATTACTATACAACCACATCCAGCATTGACTTCACTGTTATAATTTTGTGAGTTCCATTTTGAAGATTCTTCCATTTTCATGTAAGCATTTACTATTTCTTCCATCACCTTTGATAACCCAATAAATATTCTTCAGATAGTATTTCAGGAGAATAAATTGTGTTTTTCTGAAAAATTTTTGTAGTTTATTCCGGAATTTATTTTTCATGAATTTTGTGGAAGATTGTAAAACTTTCGCCACTTCTGAATCTCAGGGATGGTTTCTTTATGAACTCTTTCGTCTGCCTCAGTCCTACGAGCTAATCCCGCCAATATATCGATTCGGCTTGCATTTATGAATTTATGGATGTATTTATACATGATTTCGCTACCCCGCAAGGGTTCTGGGATGCGCCTTCACTGGCTAGAACATTGGCCTCCTCATTGCCCTTGTGACCCTCATGTTCCCAAGCTGTGACCGTATTTTAGGTACTTGGCTGCTTGAGAGCGCTCAGATAGCTTCCCAACAGTCTTGAGAAAACTTGAAATGAGCTAAGCACCTTAATTGCCATCTGGCTGTCGGAGGAAATAGCAATGGTTTTATTTGTGACCTTCTGCCTGTTCATTTCCCCTATTAAATGTCCATGGCCGCTAGTCTGAGGCTGAGTGCGATCTCGTCTTTGAGCCATCTGTATACCAAGTTTCTTCCGCTTTTACCGGTGGGCCGTTTTGCCAGTCCTCTGTACTTTGTACGATGATTTTGAAATCTGTACTGCGGAACTGTGTTATCCACGGGCATTTCTAGTATTGGATCTGCCTTCAGTTCATTGTACAGTTTCGAGTATTCTGCACCGTGTGACTGGCTGATTGGGGTTTGCCCCTGCATTAGCCTGTGTGTCACCAGTGGAGCTTCTCTTTGTATGTAGATGTGCAATGGTGGAAGTCCGAGTAGGACCTCAAGTGCTGCAGTTGGGGTTGTTGTCATGGCTTCCGCCACACTTAGGCACGCCAGCCTTTGTATGCCGCCTAATAGCCTAGTCGTACCCGATTGTCTTGTTTTTGTTCACCAAGTCGCTACCCCGTATGTTATCATGGGCCTCACTACCATTGTATATAACCAGTTTTGATGTTACTAATGAGAGATTTGGTTGACAAATATTACTGTTGTATACAGTATTGCAAAATTACCACCATATATCTACTTCAAAAAAAGTGCATGTCACATACAGACTCGTGATGCCAACCAGTCAGAAAGAATATTGATATGACCTAAAATTTAAAGGGATTGGGTTTTGTGGAAGGGATTTATTTGGGAGAATCAAGTGAAATGGTGTAAAGTGGGGTTTTATTTCTTATTAAAATTGTTACACCAACTAATTTCTATTTGAATCATTGATGGTTTTGCCTTTGCCTTTTTATTTATTTAATTATTCATTCATTTATTTATTTCATACACTATTCTACGGGATGAACCCAATTACAGAATAGGGAGAAACAGTTGCATTTACAAATATGTACTTACATAATATAATTTGTGAATCTATACAAAAAAAAAATAAAAACAGAACTGTCAGTTAGCTAAGAAATGTCTTTTGATTTGTATAATCTGGCAGTTGAATATATCTAGGACATGACTAACAGAATTAGAGGTATAGCATATTGTACAAATTGGAGATTTCGCACATTGTATAAATTGGAGCCTTTTTCATTATATTTGTACGCGAAGTGTTGACATAAAATATGACACTATTCCTAGATGACCGTCTAGGAACCCAAAAATTCAATATTTTGAATAAAAAAAACAAATGAATAATATTTACGCTTCACCTCGAGACTATAAAAATTGTGAGTTACAAGCAATTCATAATAGGGTATTTCTACAGTAGGCGTGCCTTCAAGTTTAAAAGACATATATTTTAGGAAGCGCCTCTGTAGGGCTTATGGTTGATTTATATGAACCTGATAGTAGGGACTCCACACGACAGATGCATAATCCATCCTAGATCGAACAAAAGTGAAATAAAGTAATTTCTATGTTGAAGCATTTTCGAAGTCTTTTGTATTTCTAACTAAGAATCCATACATGCGATAAGCTGCTGTTAGAGTAGTGTCAATCAAAAGTAACACCTAGATCAGTGAGTGTGTCAGGACGCTCCAGAACTTGATTTTTTATGACGTAGTTTGTAAATTCAGGTTGATTTTTAGTGAGTAAGACATTACATTACATTTGGATATGTTGAGAGATAAATTATTCTTCCGACACCATGTAGCAACGCGATTTAAATTCAAGGCGAGATGTTCGCAATCATAAGAACATGTTATATTGTGATTAGAGTTTCAAGTCATCTGCGTATAAAAGGAAATTGACATCAATCTCAGCTCCGATATCATTAATGAACATATTGAATAGTAGGGGTCCTAGATTTGATCCTTGTGGTACACCAGATGTGGCTATATATTCGATAGACTTGGAGGCCTTTGAGTTGGACGTACTGCTCACGGTTGTAAAAATACGATTTGAAGAGGGTAATTAATTCATTGGATAACCCAAAAGTCGAAAGCTTGAGCAGGATACTATGGTCAAGTCTGTCGAACGCTTTAGAAAAATCAGTGTAGATGACATCAGTCTGACAGTCTGAGACTGTTTTATTTCGAATTTTCTTCATCAATGCACCATCAAAGTAGGCTGGATAATTATTTTTAGATCTTATCGAGAATTTTGGCACGCAGCGATCAAATACACTGTATAATTTTTCATAAAAGTGAAGACAGGCATCATCTGCATTGGTTGTGGGTAAAACAAAAAATTATTCCTAATCGATCTCACTGATATTCAACACTTGGATATTTCTATGATTAGTTATCATTAAGAAAGTCGTCAATAGCTGGGCCATTCATACATAACAATTATTATTAATTTTTCATTCCGGATGATGTAGGATTTTTTTCGAATGGAAATCATTCCCACCCGATAATTAATTCTGCATTAAAACGGCCTGGTACGAGGCTGAGCGTTTTTTGTTGTGCCACGAAGAGATCTTTTATGATTGCTTTTCTGACATATCAGTTTATAGCGTATGATTTGAATTTTTATTAACGTCTCGACAATAAATCACGGTCTGACGTTTCTGGCAGTTCACAGGAAGCACACACACACAGGTATTTTTAATACACCTCTTTTCTTTTTTCTTTGTGTTTCGGAATAATTTTCCGAGAATCGTTCTCTCATAGCGGCTTGTTGTTATTTGAATAATTAAAGCAATCAGTTTTTTACGATGTAACGAAAGAAACTAATACGTTATGAAAGTTATGCGCTTTGAGATACGGTTTATGAGGTTATGTTCAATGATAACAGTCACCGAGCTCGAAAAATAAAGTCAATAATGACGGCAATAACTCTTTTGTTACACGAGAAGAAAGAAACTGACGAATAATTTAATGATATTAATGTCGGAGATACGTTTATCTACCTCAGGGTGGAACAACTCCACTAACATGAAGTAACCTCAGTGAAGAATTGCGCATTTCCTTGATATTTTCTTCCACAAATAAATACGAATGGATCAATAGATAGTTTTCTCTCAAGTGTGATGAAGAGCAACTTGAAAAGTTCATCTCGCCAAACTACAGAAGAGTCCACGTATATATCAACACAAATTCTAACAGATCTGCTCATGGGGACTGTTGGAAAGAATGAAGTTGCTGTTACAAATGTGATTGCAGTTCAAATCTCGCTTTACTTCCTTGGAGAATTGAAAGGGAATCGGGAGGAGCTGTACTTGAAGAGGAGACACGGAAAAGATGAATTTCTATTGGAGTTTGCATATCTTATCGATCGTTACTCGGTTATACTTTACCCGCCAACAGAAAGACCATGACTTTCCAACTTTGAGTATCTACTCATGGGTACCGTACTGGATGAAGCCTGTGAAGTCACCAGGATTTCGGATCCTACACTAGGAATCGGATCATGTTTTCAAGGCAGCTTCCCAAGCTTAGTCGACACTGAACAAGGTGGCCACAATTCTGTCACCAAATTTACCCTTCAGGTAGAGGTTCATATCAAAGCCGTAGAGGTCACTTTACTCCTGCGGCTACTCATGGATAAGTTGATGCATTTTGTCTTCTTCGCCAACATTGGAGTCCACGGTTCATCAAAGAACCCATCCTCTGCTTCCTTATGTCGAGTTGGCTGAAGTCGGAAACTGTGAGTTCATTAGGACACCTTACTTTACCTCAGTCTCGTGGTGGATATAGATGTTCTTGACAGCTGGTACAGGGCCTAACGCGTGCCCTTTGATACTTTCACACATTTGCTGTCGACATGTTCAACATGTCGACATATGAAAAAAATATTTCATTCATTATTGTGCTCCTCGGCACTAAAAACGTATTTCCAATCTTATAAAATCCATGTATCTTATAGTTCGTTTCACATTATATGGTCCTTCGAGCCGGATTGCAACTATACACCCCTCCTTTGTGTTATAGATACATGAAGTACTTGTACCCTTACGAGTGCGACAGGAAGCGGCTGAGCACTCCCGCTGAACTCCAAGCCGCCATCGACGGCAATAGACGGGAAGGCCGCCGAACCACTTACGGGCAGTACGAGAACGTGCAGCGGTCTCCGAATCACACGTTGCACATGAATCCGATGACCTTGGTGACCCAGCAACATCAGCAGCAGTTGGCCGCGCGGATGTTGGGAGGCGGCATGAACATCACCAACGGTCACCCTCCTAGTCACCAGCAACCGTTGGGGCAGCATCTCAACGGGGGGCCCATACCAGGTTGGTAGAATATTGGTGATACGTAGGTTGATGTTGAAGCGAAGTTTTTTACATTCGTATCGGGAAAGGAATATTGTTGGGTGTTTTTTTGCTGACTTGTTCATTTCCTCGATTCCTTAAATATTATATTTTGCTGTGCTCAATTTCAATTGAAAATTTATTATAGTAAATAATACTTTTTGGTAATGGTTTGTATGTAGATTTTTTTCTAGGCCTGGCACCCAGCGACGTAGAGTCCCGCGTGAAGGAATACATGAAACTCTTCCAGCAGAAGGACGTGGCGCCCGCGATTCCCACCATGCCTAGCAGGCCGGGAGACGTTTCGCCCCCCAACAACACCTCCGTCCTCAATAATCTCGAGATGACGAGGATTACACTCTGGAACTTGTACAACAACAACCACCACCACAACAACCACCACCACAACAATCCGGTAGAGCCGCAGAAAGAGCCGATTAACCTTTCGGAATCCTCCTCGCAATCCTCAACCGTCAAGAGGGAGCCGGATCACAGGGAATCGCCCCCGCCCCCCAAGAGGTTGCTGAAGGAAGAGGAGGAAGCCGAGCTACCACTCACACCTAAGAGCTCTCCGACCTCTACACATATCAAAATCAATTCCAGAGGTGAGTGTCGATTTAGAAATTTAAATAATCAGTCAACCGTTTCTTCACTTTCTAGATTAGAATACGGATAATTTTATGAAATCCAACAGAAATTTGATTGACAGAAGTTTTGTCAATCAATTCTACATAAGTTTTTTTGCTTTTTTTATAAAAATATAGAGAAAATCTAATAGGACACTTTCTGTTCCCACATTGGGCGCCACATTTTTTTTAATAAAATGCCGACAATAAATAATGGATCATAAATATACTCTACTATATAAAATTATCGTATCACAGTGTTAGTTGCTTGGCCGATTTTCATGAAATTTTATATGTATATTTTGTACGTCTGAGAATAGGTTTCAATCTATTTTTCATACCCTAAAGTGATAAGGGTGTTCCACCCCAAACATTTTCTTTTTTTACAAAAGTCTTTGTTTTTATTTTTTATAATGTGGCACTGAAAAATACAGATAAACCTCAGTTTTCATCACTTTATCACCAACCCCTATTGCTTAATAGCCATTTTACTAGCGTATTAATTTTCAACTCCGTACATAGATCAGTTATTCCCGCCAGGCGTCTACCGGTGCCACTTCTCACTCAGAAAACTGCATGAAGTAGGGATGAGAATGAAGCCGGTCTCCAGTTTCTCTTACACAATAAGCCCTCTCTTACTGCCTATACAGTTTTCGGTCACTCTTATTGTTAATCCATCGAGCGTAGTTACAGTCTGCAATGTCACCGAAGCTGTGAGTTACCCAACAGAGTTTTTGAATTCATTGAAAGGTTGGATCGCTCTGTAATATGAATCCACCACGGCTGTGCAACAGCACGCGATTAGTCATTGAAAAAATTAATGAAAAACGTTGTCAAAGCCAGAATTTTGAATGGCTTTTCCGAGGTGAAAGGATATTAATACCACAAATCCATTATACTCACAAATGAGCCAATTCATTTTAAATGTGTGCAATTTCCAATTGGAATGGCATTTGCAATGACAGGTGGACACCTAATTACCTACTTGCAACTTTCAAAATGACGACTGGGCGCCATCTGGGAAAAAAATTTAAATGGAAAGGGGGCTCTTGTGACACATCATTTTGAAGACAAATTAAGAAGGTGGCCAACTCAGAACTTCAAATGAAATATTTATTCTATATGTTATATTTAATTATCACGTTCATTTTTCATAGATGACAAAATAAAGGGAAATTTTTGACCGCTTAAATAAGTTTACGCAACCTTCCCGTACAACTCATTAATAATTCCATTTCTAAAAATAATATTGGAGCTTCACTTTCGTTTCATAATACATAACGATTTTTTTTATTAACTATTTTTATTCCTTTTCCCTTTTGTTTTTTGGTGTTCAAAAAATAATAGTTGAAGCTGGCTGGCATTTTGTTAAAATGTGCATTGCCGTAAGTGAGACTTGTGTTATTTAACTTATCGATTTTAATTGAAGGCCCTCACCGTTTCACAAACTTTGGATGTTTGTCGAAATTAGTTCTAGATGAAATTAATGATCGTTCTCCTCCGAATTCATTGAACATTTCGATGTCACTTCGGACTTAAATTAACTGGTTTAATGATGAGGAAGATTAATGGATCTCTCCTAAAGAGCACAACGAATACAGCACAATCATTTTGGCGGGACTTTTGCTCTCCGTTTCACTGCGACCCGTGAACAGATGAAAACGATAATGACACGGGATATAGTTGACGTTTTATTGAAGTTATTCCTAGTTCATCCTTGATGTACCTAATATAAGGTTTTTTTGTCGTTCAACCTTATCATTTGAGATTGTATGTCAGCTGTCTGTTAAAAATTTGTTAAAATCTGTTTTTTTTATTAACACACTGATGCCCTCTACGAACTACAACTCTCAGAAGTCTAAACTTGTGCGAGCTAAGGACTAACGAGGTCTTACGTTTACACGTGTGATTCCTACCACGGGTTGAACGATAGCAAATAAACATCGATCGTCCGGTCCCGCGGCTTGAACCACCGGTTCACACAGCGGTCGATTGAGTGAAAGGAGCAAAGCACCCACGTCAACCCGACCGGCTACCATCATGACTATACCAACTTCAGCTGAACTTTTTCGCATCTGGTTTGGATAAATTGTCGTTTAACGTAATCGTTTGTTGACCTGTTCAGAAGAAGATTGTTTTCTCTTCTGATCCAGATTCTACTGCTGAAGAATTTGGTGGAAGGCAGATTCAGAAGATATCCTGCTTTTGGAGGCGGTAAGTCACTTTCTGGCTAGCCTAGCCTCCTAGAGAACTGAGAAGCTCTTGATCCGATGTCATAGGGTAGACAGTTGGACGCCCATGTCTGTAAACTCAGCTTCGAGTGATGACTGGAGTATTCCTCCGCGAGATGACTATTTATAGGTAGTTCGAACGCTTTCGCTTATCCTCTCCTTCCTCCCTCTGCTTCACCGGCCTAGTGGCAGTTGACCGTTTTTCCGCTTGATCAACGGCTTCCATATGCTGCGTGTCTCTACGCTAGCTTGGCTGAACGCGTCGTTGGACAACATATATGCAGCTTCTTTGAACTTCCTCTCGAACCAGTGTTCCTCCCTGTGGATGATCTCCTTTCTGACAATCCTCTGACGTAGGAAAGGCAAGCACAGGCTATGGCGGCTCGTCTTCCTTGTGGGGCTATTGTTGTCTTCCAGACAAAATTTGTTTCACCATCACTTTTGAGTAACCATTCCGTGGAAGACCTCTTCTGATGGTGGCTAGTTTTTTCTCGAGACCTTCCTTCGTATTACACAGCCCGAAAGCACGATCTATTAGGAACTTGATGCTTCCTCTTTTGGTAGATTGATGGTGGTTGGATTCGTGATTCAGATACTGTCCCGTGTGAGTGGGTTTTTGGTATACAGATGTTTCCCACTTAGTGTCGGTACTCTTCACCAATACGTCTAAGAATGGCAATTCGTTGTGGATTTCCTTCTTCATTGTGAAGCTTCACGCTGATGATGTGCTTCAGAAAGGTGTCCAGTTCTGTTTGCATACTATAGAGGTGTCGTCAACGTATCTCAACCAGACTCGGGGCTTCTTGTGGGCTACTTCAATAGCCAGAGTTTCAAACCACTCCATATATATGTTGGCTATGACTGGTTATTATATTATATTGGACAATGGAAGTCCGAACTGGTAAAAAGTACCGCCTTACCATGACAAGGCTTCATACGACAAGACGGCGTCCGGAATTTCGAAGCTTCCCCAGTCTTATGCCACAAATTAATATTTGGTGGCATCTGTATCTATATCACAAGAGTAAGGAGGGTGAGTGTAAGCCCATATCACTTAGTCCACATGGGACCCATTGTCCATCCTCCCAAGGAGTTGTCCTCCTAGGTCATCGTCCATCCTGTCCTTTCCAGGAAGATGGACAGGTCTCTGGGAGACATCTCCTTTACATCGGCAGGTGTAGGCCAAGACTCGCCGTACACACACCCTCTTATTGAGGATAACTCTGGATATTCGCATAGGACATGCCTGACGGTCTCATCTTCCTGTTCCCACATCCTGCATAGAGGTGTGTCCAATAGCCCCATATTGTGGAGGTGTTCCTTAGTTGATAGTGGCTAGTAAGAAATCCATCTGTTAAGCACAGATTTTTCCTAGTAATCGCCAGATATTTCTTCGGCGTCAGCTTCCCAGGGTCGCCCAGGGTGATCCTGGCATCCTTTGATTTCATCCCATCTCTTTAGGGATTGAGCATGGGTTATTGGGTGGCATATAGGTATTGTCTAATATAATACTTGCCCGTAAGGTGTTTTTTTTTGGAAAAGCATGAATTCTCACGACTCAAAACTTGCGACATACTACTTCAGACTGGAGCGTGAATCCACTCTTAGATAAGTATTGCACTGCAAGAAAGATTTTTTTTGTTTTTGTTCTCATTTTCAATCAATGGGTATATTTATTCCCTATACTATCTGTACATAAACTAACTCGACTTTTTTTTTTCAGGTGATTCTCGGAACGGAGACAATTCCTTAGTCGTCAGTATGGAAATCAACGGCGTCACGTACCAGGGCGTGTTGTTCGCGCAGAACACCAACTCTTCGGGGACGCGAACGGCGCTCGCGTCGTAAAAATCTCCCCCACTAGAGGGCGTTTCCTTCTACGAGAGTTCGATCGTTTAATTAAGAGTTTTATATACATATACATGCTGTGCACGACGCGTCGGATAGACTTCTTTTTATTTATTTATTCCACAATTTTATGTCGAGGGGTTTTAAGCGCGTGAAGCGCCTCTCTCATCCCCAACCAGAAATTGGATATGCACAAATGTGCTATTTAGAGGAAGTATGCGATTCAGCGGGTGTACCAGAAAAACTGTGAAATCTGAAAATGGTCGCGTATCATTAGATAAACTGAGTGGAGTATTTCAGGTTTGTTTTGAAAGGGATATATTTTTAGGAGTGATTAATTTTTGGGAAAGAAAGTTTTTGGCTTTCTACTACTCCATCTGATACAAAAAAAAATGGATGAGAGAATCTTCCAAAGAAAGGAAGGAAGTAATCAATTTGAAAATAAAATTGATTACTTCCTTCCTTTCTTTGGAAGATTCTCTCATCCATTTTTTTTGTATCAGATGGAGTAGTAGAAAGCCAAAAACTTTCAGGTTTGTCTTTTGAAAATTTTTATTTCGAGTGATTTTAGCGCATGAAGCGCCCTCAGTCCTCCCCAATCAGAAACTAGAAACGCCCAAGTGTGCTGTCTAGAGTAAGTAGGTACGCGGGGTGGTTTTTGCCGCGGTGAAATTATTTAAGATTCGACGGGTGTCCCAGAAACACCTACTTTGAAATTTGAAAAAGGCAAATATGTAGATAAAATACCGGAAGGAATCGGATAAACTGAGTGGAGTAAATATTGTGTAATTGGATTCATATTTTGTATTTTGATTAAATTTTTTACTGCTTCAATTTTTGTAGAATTTTGTTTTTTGGGCTCCCACTAGGTTTTGAATCAAATTCAATCAGTCCCGTTTGTTTGCTCACGGATCATGAATCCGAAGTGAAAACTTGACGTCCCAGTGTACTTTTGGAGATGCGTTCACTCAAAATTTGAAAAATCGACTATTCCAAGAACTCATTTCAGTAATAGAAAATTTGTGAAACGACACCTTCATCCACATGCCACTTCCGTTTTTTATTTCCTCAAAATATTTTCCAGCAAACTCCATAATATTATAAACGCAACTGTTTATGAACCCAAATGACATGGCCTTTGCCATATTTGGTTAGATGTCGAATTCAAATAGGTGTAGCTCTCACAACTGATTCCATGTTTGTAGTTTGTGTAATTGATCATGATAGCAAACTCCTTGCATGATTACTTTGCACTCGGCACAACAGATGTCAGCACCAGGGTTGCTATTGGCTATTATTCCATTGGTACTTATTCCGTGTTCTGTGATGAGTGACATTTTTGACATTTGGCATTGACGTGTGTCATTTGAGATTTATTGCTTGCGCATAATCTTTGTTTTGTATTAGTGCGTACACAATCATAGAAAAAAGTACGATTTTTAATATCAGATGTTTTCTCTCTAGAAAATCTATGAAACAAAAACATAAAAAAAAAGAGGAAAACGAAAGAGGATGGAAAAAATTAAATAAAAAAGAAAGAGGATGGGAAAAAAGATGAAAAAAGTGCGTGGAAAAAGAAAAAATAAAAAGTATAGAAAAAATAAAAACAGAAAAAGAAAACGATAAAAGAAAAATGTGTATATGGGTAAATTCTTAGATAATTCATCTACTAAATAAGAAATCACAAAAAATAAATGAAAAACAAGTAAAATAGTTGGAAAAAAAAAGGTAAAAAGGAAATTATTTTATTAGGAATAAACTTAGAAATAAGAAAGAGTGTATTATGCATATTGAAAATACTGAAATATTGTAGAAATTTCACAAGGTAAAATAGACTGGCAAATTGGTTATACCGACGCCATTTGAACACAAACCACACACACACACATCATTGGTCAGCACTCACGAAGTGCAAATGTAACTTATAATCCACCATAGCTCGAGCTAGATTCAAACAAGTGCAGGTAGAACTTGTTAGATAATGTTATTAATCACTAATGTAATTACGTAATGTTTTTTTAATTCTACTTGTGCGAGTTGAATCTAATTTTGGAAAGATTAGGTTACAAGTTAGAATTTATACGAAATAAATGTTAGAAACCTACAAAAAAAAAGAAAGCAACTTAGTACAGGGAAGTTTTGTCACATACTAACTGTGAATGATATATAGATATCTGTTTCAATTCCATAAGAATGTTTGGGAAACAGGCTGAATTAAAAAAAAAGTTTTTTTCTGTGATTCACTATATTGATGTGATATTTCCACTTGACAGTTTACAAAAGTAGCTGCTTCAAAAAAATGTGGGATTCTTCCAAAGGAAGGAAGGAAACAGTCAATTTTAAGAAGTCACTCTATACAAAGATTTTAAATCATGCATAGAAGTGACTTTCAGAGACTGAAAATAAATTCACTTCTTTGTATTCACACCTTTGTAAAAAATTCACTTTGAACTTGATCGCTTTCTTCAGAAGTTTTCTACATAGATGAAAAAGTAGAATGCCAATAAGCTTCTTTTTCCAAAAAAAATTTCGTTCTGGAGAAACATTTGAAATGGTCGTTAATGTAGGTTCGCATCAAGCGATTGTGAAAAGGTTTCATATAAGCAGTTTTTATTAACGGTAATAGTAGATTTTTCGACTTTTGACTGGCCGTATCTTCAAAAGTATGTTAGAGCTCCAAGTTTTGTTCTAAGAACCCAAAAACCCAGTTTTTACCGAAAATATAAAGTAGCATTTCGAAAAATCCTTCTTTTCATTCTCGAAACTCAATTTTTTCGCAAAACCCTGTTCCATTCAAAATTCGTTTTCTCGGTAACAATTTATGTTTTCTTCCATTTTATCGCATGACATGAACATAGTGTTTCTTGATTACGTTGTGGATCTTGATCCATTGGTAGTTCTAGAAGTTATTCTGCTATCATAATATCTGTGATCAATTAGTCTCAACTTCTTAGACAAACGGGGAACTTGAGGTTAGGTCACGCTAGGCAGGTAAGGTCAACTTCCAGAACTACCTACACACTGAGATCTAATCTATTTCGAAATTTCTGAAAGAACAAATGAATTTAGAATGAATAGCTGAAAAATATTATTTAAATTGAGCTATATAACGTTAAATGAAAATACAAAAAAACGAATAAAATGATTAGGAGAAAAGATTGAAATGACCATAGTGAAAATTTAAAACAATTAAATAAAAAAAACAAAAAATGAAAAAATAAATAAAAATTTTCAAAAAATTAAATTAAAAAAAAATTGAAGAAATAAAAAAAATTCAAAAATAAAATCTGAGAAAAGATTTCGAACCAAGTTTACTATTTATAGGACATTCGAGCGCTTTCACCGCTTTTTCAGCTGCTCTTTCTCATTTTATTTATTCTTTCAGAGATTTTCAGAGATCGTGAAATGTAGGCTTTCACTGCCAGGAATCAACAAATTACCAGCTGGTTTCGGGTCCAAGCCTGACGTTTCTCAGCGATGCGGCAGTAATAGAAGTGATCTTACTTGCAAGCCTAAATATCTACAGACAAGTGAACTTGAAACTAGCTAGTAATTTGTTGAAATCGAAAATATAGACGAAAAAACGGAAAAATGTGGTACAGTTAATCTTATTCTATGTTGAGAGTTGTATTTTAAAAAAATATCGTCAATATGACTACAGTAAAGACACGAACATCAAAGCACAATAGGAAACGAAATGATAATTCTGACCAAAGAACCACAAACAGGAGTAAACAATCAGCCTACATCATTTTGACAGTAATAAATCTGTGAAAATGGATTGTTCCACTGTTTTGGTAATTTTTTTCATTTTTTATATTCTGCACTAGAAATTTTTTTGGGTTGAACTTGAATATATTCCAGTACTAGTCTAGTGCTTGATGTGAATGAAGCTTCAACCTAAGTTGTGAAGGGATTGGATTTTTTTTCGTTGCTGGGACTTCCTACAGAATCGTTTTATATTATTTCATAATTCTTTGTGGTTTTTCGTTGTTGTCAACTTATCACTTTGAGGCAAAACTGCCTGCATGAGTGGTAAAATTTATTGGTTGATTGTTTCACAGGTCTATGACTTACTGTACATTTTATATCTCAGAAATGGAACTTTCATTGAAATATATTCCCTTGAATTATTTTAGATCTCATCATTATTATGTAGCACATCATTATTCAGAATAATATTTCGGGAAAAGAAAATTGTGATATATTTTCATCATGATCTATGGATTTACCCATAGTCACAGTTTTCACGAAGGTTTAATTCAATTTTCATTATTTCCAAACCTCACTTTTTTTTCGATTAACTGCCTTTATGAAAAGCGTTATGTAGTCTGATTTCATTTTTTGTGATTGTTCATTACCAAATTCGCATATTTTGAAAAAAAATTCTTAAAACTTTGTAAATATTATATAAATATATTTAGTGAACAGTATTTTAGTGTAGAATGTGTATGATTTTCATAACTTTTTTGTATATCTGCCAAAAGACTGTTATATTATTAATAATATTTTGAAATAATTTTTAGTCATGTTTTACAAGTAGTATATTTATGAGTTATATAAATGTTTAGCAATATTAGCGAATAAGGTAGATATAAACAAAATATATAACATTATTTCTTCGAAATTGGACGAAAACGTCAGTTGTCTGAGCAATGATCTTTTTATCTGAATCTGATTCACTCAGGGAATATTATTTAGTGGATTCCTTGAAAAAATTCATATATTCCCTTTAACGCAGAAATTGTATTTAATTTTTAGTCTGTGAAAAAATATTTTTCATTTATAGTTGTGTATATACATATGATTTTTATTATTAAATATACCCTAATATGTGGTTTTTGTCCAATTTTTCATTTCAAATACCGTTTATACGTTGAAAAAAGTCCCGAAATATTTTTACCCGCCACTGTCAATACCTTCCTCCCCCTCGCGCTGATACCGCTAAAGCTCAAAGGTCTATATGTGTTAGCCAATATAATCTTTTATTGGCCACATTACATAAAAATAGTTGTGCATGTTTCAGACATTTCATGAGTGGCAACACTGATATTTTACTTATAATATCAAGAAGAAGAAGAATTAGGTTACATTAGGTAAAATTAATTCAAAGTTGTTACATGTCTTCTTTCTAATATAATACATCGAATATCAGTGTTGCCAATTATGAAGCACCAAAAAATGCGCAACTATTATTACGTAAATGTGGTCACTTGCTCAGATGTTTTTGAAATTTTATACTTCATTTATTTTTTTCCTGGAACAGAATACGTGTTTTCTCAAACAGGTAAATAGAAAATAAAATGGATATGAAGAAGTTTCATCATGGCGCTAGATACTTTGAAAGATCTAGAGGCTTTGGACGACGTCACAATA